CTCCCCCATTTTGGTCATATTTATTTGCTACTATTTATGGCAATTTTGACACACACATACTTATAGCATTTCTTCTGACCATATTACTATTATTATTTTTGGACTAGTTGATTCTATCTAATTAGATCCCATTTTTTTATTACTTGTTTGTTTAGTATCTGTGTGTTTCTCCCCCAAGAGGGATTAATAAAGAGTTTTTCGTTTTTTGCTCTCTGCGCTCCACTTTTATATTTATAATTGCAGAGTAGCTTTTTTCATATAAGGATACAAGGTCTTTTTGGGAGGCAGATTGTTTATAATCTGCAACCCATAAATCCTATTCTCTCTTTGTACTTCTAGGGGTTAGGCCCCATTGTATCTCTCAACCATCACAACCTGGCGGATGGATTTGTTCCATTCCTAACCAGTGCTGTGTTTCTTTCTAATAGCTTGATATACATTTATTTTTCCTTAAACAGAGACTATTTAGTATGGGAATCATTAAACCCAAAATCCAGTATCTGTCAACACTTTTCTAGTTCGGCCTTGGCTGTCTGGCAACTGTCACTAGTCTAATACTATCCTTACTTTTTTTGTGTCTAGCATGTAAGCTCATTGAGCAGGACCCCTCAACCCCTCTGTTCCTGTGTGTCCAACTTGTTTGGTTACAACTACATGTCTGTTCGTCCACCCATTGTAAAGTGCTGCAGAATTTGATGGCGCTATATAAATAACATAATAATATTAATAATATAGCAATGCTGCCAATAGCGTTCTGTGTTAGAATTAGATACAGAATAATATATATTGTCATTTTTTGATTGGACTAAGAATTTTGGAAGGACAAGGAGTTGTCTTTTGTCATACCTAACGTATATCTTAGACCAGGAGTGCCCAAAAGGTATATGCCCAGATGTTTTAGAACTACAGCTCCCCTGTCTTAGACCATACCTCCCAACATTGCAAATTAATAAAGAGGACACTTTTTAATTTTAGGGGTGGGAGTGAGGGAGTGACCAGGGGCAGGGCTGTTCTGAGAAATTTTAAATAACTTACTAATAACAATTTATTTAAAGAAAATGCAATTTATAACAAGAACCATGCATCCTATTAACACAGTCTGATTTCTAAACACATGTATTGTAGTTTAAAGACACATCACTGGGACTATTATTGCTGCTATACACTCAGACAAACCAACAATATAGAAATCCTAGAAAAGAGGGATATTAGGATATAAAAAGCGGGACAGAGGGATTTGCAGCCAAAATAGGGACTGTCCCTCCTAAATTGAAACATTTAGGAAGTATTGTGGTAGAAGCTATAGGATGTTTAAGAAAAATTCAGTACTCACATGGTTTTTATGCCATTTTGAGAAAGCCACATCGGCAAACCGCGTGTTTTATATTTACTTTTACTATTGAATAAAGGAATTCTTTTGGACAAATAGATCTGGTTTGTGCCAATTTTCTTTAAATTTTATTTACCATTTTAAAATATATTTGATAATATATTTCCCGAGCTGGGGATCGTACCACCAACGCTATATCAATAGAGCAGTGTTTCTGCTCTACACTTGTGAGTATTACTCTTATCATTCTTTTATACTCTATTTTATCACAATTGAGAGCACTATTGTTGCCTTTTATCTTCCCTTTGGAGCTTTGGATAACCAGACGGTGCTGACGGATACATCTTCCCACATCCCATAAGCAGGGGTTATACCGCTGTATGCTCTTCACACCAGAACTGGCCATAGCTCTTTTAAATGTGAGTTCTCTACCTCTTGTTACTTACTGCACCTTTGGACTCTAGACGTACTGCACTATTGGTTGCTTTCTGCCTCTTCTCTGTTTCATATATACGAACTAACACCCTGAGACGTATCCACTCCCATTGAAGAGAATGCATCTTATCAAGTTTCCCTGATTACCTACTGCTACTCTAGCGTGACCTCCTACCCTCTCTAAGACTATTTTATTTGTATAGGCGCAGCCCTACTCTATCTTTTTTTTTTGTGTGTGTTGAATTTGATCCGTTGAAGGACTTGATGGGTTTCCTTTGCTTGGGTTGCTGCCCATTCTGCATATATTGTGTGTTGATTAGCGCTGAATTCCTGCTGTATTCTGTGTACTTACTTGGTTAAAACTACTGTGCAACTATCTTGAACCAGGGCGCATGTGTGGAATTTCAGGAAAGCCCACTATTAGATAACGTATGTAAGAGATAAGTTTTAGTTTAATAATTGGTTGTAACTATTGTAATGTGGGTGTAATTTTTGTATTCTTTGTATGCGTATGGAATACGTCATTTGTGTTATATAGTCTTTGTTCTCTTGTAAACGTTTTCTCAATCAGGTATTCCAAGACCATTGTCTGACTGAGACTTTGCAGCTGCAAAGCAATAAATAGCCTTTGTTCTTCAATGACCTGTGTGTGGAGTGTTTGGAGTGTCCTTGCATCATCTCTGACCCGAGAATTCTTCCACAGTATGGTTGGATATATGAATACATATTTGGGACACCTTAGCCCTTAAGTTCTACAGGTAGTGGAGAGAGCTGAAAGATAGTGGATTTTTTAATTTTAGTTTTACTTAAAGCAGGAGCCTGGTATAAAAAGAAAGACTGTCAGTACAGTGCTCTGTATAGCAACTAGGGGAAGGAAGTGATGTTAAAAGGGGATGCCTGGGGACAAAACTAAATTGCAGACCCCTTCTCCAAAGCTATGCTTTCTTTGAGATCCTCTAGTCCAGTGGTCCCCAACCCAGTCCTCGTGGACCACCAACAATCCAGGATTTATGTATTTTCCTGTTTTGTTCCAATGGAGTTACTGACGAAACCTGGACTGTTGGTGGTCTGTGAGGACTGGGTTGGAGAACACTTCTCTAGTCCACCAGGGCCACAGTGTTCATGGGTAGACAGGAGGGAACATAACATGAAATATTCCCTGATGACTGAATAACGCTTTGCATCACTATGAGCATGTGAGTGATGTGGAGTCTCAAAACTGATGGAGGAATGATATGCGCCAAAAAGTGACACAGGGGTGACGCATCGTGTCAACATTCACGGTTGATCGACCTCGCACCAGCCTAGGTAATGCGATAATCAGGCAGGTGATAATATAAGGATGGCAGGTGGAGCAGTTGAGGCCCAATACAGTCCTTTGTCACCCTCCCCCTCCATTATGGTGTCTCCTCCTGTACAGATGTATCTTCCTTGTTGGGTTTACATGCTAAGAAAGATTTTATCGTAACACACCCTATCTCAGCCAGTGCGAGTCCTTACGTGTCAGTTTTCACTATGTACCCGTGACATGAACATGTAATTCCATTATATAGTATTTAATACGGAACATGATTACTGCTAATTTCTTCATGAAGAAGAAACTGCAGGAAGACTCATGGCATTTAATGGGTCTGAGTCTGACTATCAATGGATTATTTATTTTGCATAATACGAGTAATTAGCATTTTCTGGGATTAAACTACTTGAAGTATTTCCATCAGGTTTGGAAGCTAGTCCTTTATATAAATATATTTTTCTGGATAAAATTTCTATTCCGAGACATGGCTTCTTATTACTGTTAATACATTATTTATGTTGCTAAATGCAGAACTTGTGTTGGACTAATGTGATGTGTTATTGCACAGCTCGTTGCCTTCCAGACCACGTACATTATGGCTAAAAAGAGAGCCTACACTTCCGATGACCATATGGTATGCGATCTGCGCTAACTCCTGGCTGATATAGAGAATATTATAACGTTGAAAATCACTAAAGAGTGAGACTTGAAGAGAATTTTAAAAAAATGATTTGTAAAATCTAGGCAAAAAAATTAGCCAAACTGGTTTGCAATTCTGTTTCTGATTCACTATAATTTAGTGGTTATTCAGTACACCTTTTGGTTGATCTGTTGTAGTAGGGTAAGAGAACACAAGATTATTTTTTTTAAATGTTGTTCTTTATATAACATATGCTAATATTATGTTTTTGCCATTAAAATAATTTAGGGATTTAATATATGATCTTTTTTTTTTCTCTTGAAATCTTTATCAGAACAAATTCATGTTTTTGTTTTGTTTTTATTTTTCCATGTTATTCATTTATTCATTCATTATTTTTAAATAGAAATTTCAGTATTTTTAAAAAAATTAAAATTTATTTAAAAATGTCGTCTTTCTCAAAATCTTTTTGATTTTGTGTACATGTAGCAAATAGTTCAGACAAAGCCGAGCACCTCCTGCACGCAGTGTGGGATAATTTCTGTTAACCTTGGTTATATTTTCAATATGCTTGTAAGAGTTTAAATGACATAAACCAGACATTTTATTACTTTGCTGTGTGGACTCTGGGGAATCGCTGCTTTTACTTTGTTTATTCAAAAATGTCAACATGTTGTATTTGGCTGACAGGTGCACTTTAAAATTCACCAGGTAAAAGATGTGTTCGGTGATATTTAAGGTCCAGACTATTCCCTAAATGGATTAGGACTCAAAAGCTTTCCATGGGCCTTGTTACTTTTCTTTTGAAATGACATAAGACTTTGATATTTAACCTTTTCTTTGTTAAAGAATAAAAACAAACGGAAGATCCATTCTATAGACGTCTGGACCTTCATGTCAAAATAAGTCTGTGTTTTTACAAATACCTGAATTTTAACACTCAGTGCTGCCTGGCAGCTGATGAGGAAGGGAGTGGGTACTTTGAGTTTTGCCCCAGAAAATCAGCACCTCCTGTACAAAATTTTGAGCTGCATTTGGTCAGGGACTCTCTTTTTGTTAAGGCCCCCTCCACAGATTCCATATAGAAATGGTGCTCTCTAACTGGGGTACATGCGCATGCTTGTCGTAGGCAGCACCTCTCAATCAAGGCAAAGTATCATACATTATTATAAATTTACACCAGTTTTTTTTTCATTTTTATTTATGAATAAGTATAAATCACACATCTCATATAAATATAATTGAAATGTAACAACACAAATAGATAATTTAGTCAGATAAATAGACATTTATCAGCAGGCCTTTATTAATTTTTATTTTAACCAAAACATTTAAAACTAAATTTTAATGGTCGTTCCATTCATACACCATCACGACGATGGAATAGCCCAGTGTAAATTAAAGAATTCAATGTATTTATGTATCAAGGTTCATGTTCTGTCTCTGCTAATTTGTGATATTTTACAGTGTGCAATTTTACGGCTTTCCTTAACATCAGTCCAATTACCTGCTGAGATGTAAAATGCTGGTAAAGTCGTTTTTCTAACAGCTTTGTGTGTTATTTTCAATATAAAACATTAATGTCGAGCAATTTTGTACCATTAAAGGGATTTATTCTGATGTGAACGATGCCTTTCTATCATCACATTTCCCAGTACGCGTAGTGTGTGCAGTGCCTCTCCAAGGGTGTGTGGTAGGATGCAGACTAAATGGGGTCACTGCTCAAGCCTCCAGTATTGTAGAGAAACAACACGTCTCTAAAGAGGGATATTATCAATTATCTTACTGTGGGCCTGGTGGCTGCAACCAAGTGATGGTTTTGGTCCCGCAGAGTTATCGCATTGCTTTTATACAGTTATCATTTTGGTAGGCCACTTGGCCTCAGAGCTTGCACTTTATTGATTCTACTGAAGGCTTGCGAGAAAATGTATGTTCCTACTTTTTAAGGATGGAATATGTGTTATCATAAAAAAAGAAGTATGATGCCTTAAATAACTTTGTTTAAATCAATCTGTTTTAATACAGTTACTTTTTGTATTTTACGGTTGTTGTTGGTTTTTAAAAGAGAAGGTAAATGACTATTCTTCCCCTCCATGCGTACTTGCATACTGTAAGTGCTGTAACAGCTTAGTTAAAGAGGTACATAGAGCTTGTAGACTGAGTAACCCCTTCACTGTACTTTGGAGTGGAAATGAGCAAAAGGATTTGTTTATTCCAAAATATGAAAATGGAGATAATTCTCCGGTTTATTTACTTTTCCCAACTAAATAGATTTTATCTTTTTGAGTCACATGTCTGTGTTAACAGAGTATGTAAAGACAAAATGCAATAGCCCAGGCTAGCCTGGAGAGGGCGTGGGGAGTCTCAGTGGACATCAAAATATTTTAATATTTTAATATAAACTTTGTTATAACTTATTATATTCATGTATGTTAACACTTTTGAAGATACAACATCCCTACCTCAATCCCCTGTTTTTGACAACCATCTTTATGCACCTTTGGTGGGATTCTCAGTTATTGGACCCAGGGCCGGTGCAAGGACTTCTGTCTACACAGGCAAAGACACATTTTGCTGCTCCCAAAATGTATCTTCACCTGTCTGTCTAATATTCCCACTTTCCCATTTTTTTTGTCCCTTTTGTGCATCTTACCACCTTTTTCTCTTGTTTTCCCTTTTTGTATATTGTATCCCCTGTTTGGCATTCTTTTTTATGTGTTTTGTGTCTTCATCCCACTTTTCTTTACCCCCTTGCGTCACACACTCACTCATTCATACACACACACACACACACACACTGACTGTTACACACACACAGTGACCATTACACACATACTGCTTACACACACACACACACACACAGTCTCTTACACACTTGCACTACTTATACACACTCAATGGCTCTAACAGACACACACAAACAGTCTCTTACACACACTGCTAATACACACTCACTGGCTGTAACACACACACAGTCTCTCTCACACACAGTCTCTCTCACACACAGTCTTTTACACACACACAGCTTATAGACACACATACTAACTCTTACACACACACACACACACACACACTGGCTCTAACACACACACACACACACACTAACTCTTACATACACACACTGGCTCTAACACACACACACTAACTCTTACATACACACACTGGCTCTAACACACACACACACACTAACTCTTACATACACACACACTAACTCTTACATATACACACTAACTCTTACATATACACACTAACTCTTACATACACACACTGGCTCTAACACACACACTAACTCTTACACAGACATACACACACTGGCTCTAACACACACTAACTCTTACACACACACACTGGCTCTAACACACACACATTAACTCTTACACGCACAGACACACACACACACTAACTCTTACATACACACACTGGCTCTAAAACACACACTAACTCTTACACACACAGACACATACTAACTCTTACACACACAGACACATACTAACTCTTACATACACACACTAACTCTTACATACACACTGGCTCTAACACACACACTAACTCTTACACACACAGACACATACTAACTCTTACACACACAGACACACACTAACTCTTACACAGACACACACACTGGCTCTAACACACACACACACACTGGCTCTAACACACACGCATTAACTCTTACATACACAGACACACACACTAACTCTTACACCCACACACACTTACTGTTTCTTATAGTTGCTAAACAGAGGTCCCGCTGCACTGTTGTAGCTTTCCTCCTCTCTCCACAGCAGTTGGCCACCGGGATATGATGTCACATATCCCAGCAGCCTGTAGTTCAGGAAGAGATTTGCCACGGTCGCTCCTCACTGTTCCGCCCCCTTTCCTCATTGGCTGCACATTTCCCCACCAGCTGGATAGATTGCTGCAGAAATTAACCGGCAGTAGCGGAGTTCTCCGTGCTCCCGCCAGTCACTTGGACATTTTTACGCCCCTCGGATCCATGCGCCCTAAGTTGGCCGCTTGTGCCGCCTTATGGTAGCGCCGGCCCTGATTGGACCCTATGCTCACTATTTTACAACTCTGTTGCTTTTCAAAATCGTGTGACACAAAATGAGATTTTGAAAAGCAATGGATGGCTGCAAAGTAGTGTGCATTGGGTCAGATAATCCAACCAGGGGTGCATAAAGATAGCTGACAGAGAAAGGTAGCGGGAAAGGTAAGGAACAGATGTCTTTTTAAAAATTCAATATACATGAATTTGAAAAATAATGAGATGGTATATTTTTCCATAAGGAGTTTATAGAATATTAATATTTAATATTAAGATATTTTGATAACTGTGTTCTTTACACGTTACAACTGTATATGGCAGAGGTAGGCAACCTTGGACATTCCAGATGTTGTGGACTACATAATGCTCTCACTGTTATAACACTGGCAAAGCATCATGGGAGATGCAGTCCACAACATCTGGAGTGCTGGAGGTTGTCTACCCCTGGTACGTGGTGTAATAGCCACACGCGGACATTATTCTTTGGAGTAAAGACAAAAAGGGAATTGGGGATACTCCCAGAACATGTATTTTGCAGGAATATTGCTGCTGTAGAGACCAAACTGTATATACATAATAGATAAAAAAACGGCACACATACAAATACAGCTTGAAATTACATAGTTACATGGTTACATAGCTGAAAAGAGACTTGCGTCCATGAAGTTCAGTTCCTCACATATGTTTTTGCTGTTGATCCAAAAGAAGGCAAAAAAACCTAGTCTGAAGCGCTTCCAATTTTGCAACAAACTAGGAAAAAATAACTTCTTGACCCCAAAATAACAGTCAGATATCTCCTTGGATCAAGCAGCTATTACCCCACTAATAAGAAATGATATCCCTGGATGTTATGTTTATGCAAGTATTTATCCAATTGCAGTTTAAACATCTGTATGGACTCTGATAAAACCACCTCTTCAGGCAGAGAATTCCATATCCTTATTACTCTTACTGTAAAAAAAACCTTTTCTTTGCCTTAGATGAAATCTCCTTTCTTCCAGCCTAAATGCGTGACCTTCTGTCCTATGTATAGCCCTGTTTACGAATAGATTTCCAGATAATGGTTTGTACTGGCCCCGAATATATTTGTATAATGTTATCATATCCCCTCTCAGGCGATGTTTTTCCAAACTAAAGAGATTTATATTTTTTAACCTTTCTTCGTAACTAAAACGCTCCATTCCTTTTATCAATTTTGTAGCTCGTCTCGTCTCTGCACTTTTTCTAGTGCCATGATATCCTTCTTTAGAACAGGTGCCCAAAATTGCACAGCATATTCAAAGTGTGGTCTTACCAGCGATTTATAAAGAGGCAAAATTATATTTTCATCCCGAGAATTTATGCCTCTATTTATACATGACAAAATCTTACTGGCCTTAACAACTGCAGATTGACATTGCATATTGCTGCCTAATTTGTTGTATAAGGCAATTTAAAATCACCTACCTCAGAAAACAAATATGGTGATTCAGTTCCACCATATGGCCATATCCTATTAAGCCCACCACTACTTCACAGTACCGCAATATCGGGGGGTCCTACACTAATTCCAACATGGGAATCAAATTAAATAGTGCTAAATAAGCTAACGTCTAATTAAATAATCTCGTGTAAGAGCATTGTGAATATATATAACGCAAAATTAAACTGGTAAACACAATTTTAAAAAAAATTAAGTGTTAAATCTAAACAATGAAAGTGATAAGGCTTTGATGTGTATCTACACCCAATGCATATCTCATATCTACTGAATGAAAATTATAATTAAAGTGACATTACAACCCAAAATCTCCTCAAATGTATACTTTCCTGTGGTCACCTCCAAAGGGGTATCTGAAGCTTGGGGGCTGGTGGGATGCTCAACCCAAAAGGAATCTGGTCAGGACTAATTAATAAAATACACTTTAGCTTATTTAATACCAGCACTATTTAATTTGTCTCCCATTTTGGAATTAGTGTTCGATCCACCCCTATTATGGACCTGAATCCCCGTATTTGTCTGCTGAGATACGTGATTTTAAGTTGCCCTATAAAATTTAAAACTGTATTTGTATGTGTGCGCTGTTTCCTCATCTATATAGGTAATTTTTTTTTGTCTTATTTATTTTTCTTTCATCTTTTTTTTTCTTTTCTTTTTTTTGTGTTTTGTTTGTCTTTTGGAAAGTGCTTGGCTGTAAAAAGATTAATCGGTTTGGCGTACAGTTATGACATCACATTATTTTCGCCTTCAAACTGTGATGCCCGTTGCAGTGTATTCCCAGATGATACAGCAAATGCCAAAACTGTAAAAATCATTTTTAAAACTGCTGGCACTGAACATACAGATAACCCAGAGAATTAATGGGGGGAATAAAAGGAGGACTTTAAAAACATAAAGCAAATCGCACTGCCAATTGACCCTTATCTGCCGTCAATCTCCATGTTCCTAATGTGTTCGGTTAACATAGTTTCATTCTAAAAAGATTTATTTGTATATTTTAATCAGTTTTCCCATTCTGTGCTGAGACCGTAGAATCTGCGCAGCTTTGAAAAAATCATTTTCGGTTCTACAAATTTACTGCTCAGCTTGTTAAATATTCCACGCACAGGCCAGT